AATTAGAATGTACACTATTATTCATAAAACTATAATAAAATAGAATACTAGTCGTATAATTCATAAAAGGAAAACAACATTAATTCCTAAATTTAATATTGAATTTAAATTACTAATAAGTTAAATAGATTACTAGTCGTAATTCATAAAAGGAAAACAACATTAATTCAAAAATAGATTACTAGTCGTAAATAGATTACTAATACTTTAATATGGAATTTAATATTTAATTTCAAATAAGTTTCTAACTTAATTCCTACATCCATTATAACTATTTGGAGATCTTTCCAAATTCAACGTGTGTCATTAGTTACACCCCCTCATAACACAATAACTTATAAATAGGGGTAGGTTTGGAATCCGAAAAATACAATAAATCAGATTTTAAGTTATATTAGGTAACTTGCTTAGTTGGATCCTAGTCATCGGGTATTATTTGAAAAAATTGGGTATTTTAAATAGAAAACTAAAGGAAAGGGTTGTAGGTGATTTAAAATGAATTTTATGGGTCTAAGCTCAATTTACTAAATATTAAAATAGTCCAGCCCCTCCAAAATTAGACAAACTCATCAAGTCAATGTCACTATCGAACAGTAACTAGACCAGTTTGTCCAATTTTAGAGGGGCTGGACTATTTTAACATTGTCTTCTAGGAATGACCTTTTTAACATTTGCTGAAATAATTCTCATTCATCCTAGAACTGGTCTTTTTTTAGGGGGACTAATAATTATGTAGAAGAGTTTTAATTTCTCTCCTTAATAATATATTAATTAATTAATTCTAAGGTGCCAATATTTCAAGACATGGATGAAAGAGTGTTGAGAGCAATCTGTCAGTATCTTGAGCCAAAGAAGTACACTAAAAACGATATCATTACTCAAGAGGGTGAACCACTTGAAATAATGCTCTACATTGTGGACGGATTTTTAAACATTGAAGAGAGTGATGGTTCTAATAACTTGCAACGAGGTGCAGGAGAAGTATATGGAGAAGAACTTCTAGATTGGCCATTGTCAAACTCATTTCCCGACGTATTACCGTCAGCAAAGTTGTCTGCTACGGCAGGAAGTGATGTTGTAGCCCATGCTCTCACGGCTAGAGACTTAAAGAGTGTGGTCTTTAAATTCGGAAGGCAATATTTCTCTGGGATGATTACATGTCAAAAGTTTCGTCCAAAAGTAGTGGAAAAGGCAACAAACAATTACGATGCAAGTAAAATCATCAGAAAAGGAATCTCTACAGGCGTTTACAAAGGGGTGCTACCAGATAAAACAGTGGTTGAGGTAAAGAAGTACAGAGTAAATTTTTCCTATGATGATTATCCATATTTGGTTAAACTGGTGGCTGTTGCTTCTCGTACCAACCACATAAATTTGGTGAAGCTCTTAGGTTGCTGTTTGAAAGGACAAACAATTGCATTGGTTTCTGAGTACATTCCGAATGGCACTCTTTTTGAACATATTCATGGAAAAAAAGGCAAAGCATCATCACCACTTTCATTGGAGTTACGAATGAAGATAGCATCAGAAACCGCAGGAGCCCTAGCTTACTTACGCTCATTAACTACCACGCCAATCTTACCCTCTTTTGTGTCGACAAGTAGTATACTTTTGGATGATAAATGCACTGCAAAGTTGTGCAGCTTTTTATTATTTAGATTTGTGCCCAACAATAGCGGGTTTTCATTGTTATCTGTAAGGCAAGGATGCTTCGACCCTGAATCAAAGACGCTAATAGAAAAGCTTGACGTCTATGGCATTGGATTTGTCCTAGCGGAGCTACTAACCGGTCCGAATGCAATTTCTTCATCAGGGGGTGGTGACTTGAGGAAGCTGGCAAGCTCATTTCCATTACTAGTGGAAGAGGATCGCTTGAATGAAATTCTCGATGGTAAAATAATAGTGAAGGAAGGAGATTTAGAGACAGCCAAAAAAGTGGCCCATCTGGCAACAAGATGTTTAAGGTATGAAAAGGAGGAAATGCCTTCCATGAAAGAAGTAGTCGCGGAGCTTGAGGGAATATTGCGCAATCTTAGGGCAGAGCAAGGTGGAGAAGCTAGTTGCTCTTGATCTCCCAAAAGGAACCAACCACTTTGTAACCAAAAAAGGAAAAAAGAAGGTAAAGGTACATCTGTTAGTTATAGATGACTAACATATGTGTGTCGCCTACTTGCAACAACATTGGTCTGTAAATCAAACTAATTTCGGGTATTTTTTAGAATTTTGAATGTTTCACTATTTGAGACATTAC